ACAGCCACCGGAGTTTTATTCCGCTTACTTATGAACAATGACTCGTTATTCCTTCTAACTCCTTGATTCATAATTCTGACCCACCTAAGTGGGTCGGTCTTACTCATCCTTGTGCCCTGCATGTGATTCTCTTGTACTATTCTTGGACCATGGATTTGTGTATATAAGACCCCTGTAGCTTGCCCTAAGTCCCCATCTCGACCTCTTGTGTCTTGGGGACTTAGGTGAGTAACCGTCTCTGTACTAGATACTATGCTAACTTGTGTCTTGGGGACTTAGTGTGTGACCTTGAGTCCATTAGGTGCCTATTGCGTCGCTGTCGACCTCGTGTCCAGTGACCTTGAGTCGAGCTCAGCTCCTCCTTTTCTGCGTGTACTCTTGCCTAAAGTAAGTGCCGACGACGCTGCCTTTCCAACCGACTCTACCCGATTACTTGGACATTCTGGCTGTCTAAGTAGTTGGTAACCCCAACGGGCGTTCCCCTGCACGTCGCTCGTCACAGCGGGCATATCAACGCACCGCATGTGCACCCGTCAAACTGACGGATAGGAGGGATACTCCTCCTGGCGCTATAGTTGTATCCTGACATTACTGTCCTTGAGTGCTTGTACGATGTTGTCTTGGAGGACCACATTCAGCAGTTGGTCAAAGTTGTAAACCACATATCCGAACTGTAATTAGGAAAATTAGTCTCCTACTGCTCAGGGTAACTGCAACAACACATACCACCTTGTCTTCACAAGGAGCAGTATCTGCATTGCTGTCCTTCTTCCATAATATGTATGCGACAGCTTTCTTATCATCAGGGGCTTTCACCAGGTGAAAGTCATTCTCCTCCAGACAAATAGCATCATGGTGAAGGATCTGACCACTCTCTAAGGCTTGAGCGAAGGATGCCTTAGATTCAAACATAGCCTTTCCTGTCTGTAGCCGAGGAACTTCACTGCTTGATCAATAGATGTCAAACACTGTTCTGCTCTAGATACAATGTAAAAGGAACTGACCGGGTGTAACCAAGCCATATCACTGGGTCTGTGATTGGATTTTTAAGCTCAAAAATCATGAAAAAATCTTATAAAACTCCAAAATCTTTAAAACATTTTTAGCCTTAAAAATCCTGTAAAAGTTTTAAACTGTCTTTAAAACTTTTACCTCAAAAAAGTTTGATCTAAATGTTGAAAAAATGCTGTATCTGTTTTAACATTTTTGTAAAAGATTTCCTACCCTAAAAACCTTGAACCAGTTTGTCAACCAAGCAATTATTTTGCAAAACTATGGACCTATGTTTTGAAAGTTCCATCAATGCATGAGTATGCAAGAATTATGGGAGTTAGGGCTGATCCTCTCCAACCCTTGCCAATGTTCCTCTACCAACACCATCAATTCCACCACCATATGTTATTATACTAGCTGCACTAGTTGAATATCAGAATTTTCTGCACACAAGTTTCAAAAACTCTACCTAAGAACCATGCATAAATATGGAAATAAACATTTTATGGAAACATGATTTCAAACTTTTAGAGCCAAAAATGCAAATATAAATGATGTAAAAATCATGATAAACTTTCAAGATTTTTGCTTAAAACTTTTAGCTGTAAAAATTATATAAGAACCATTAATCTGGTTCAAGATTTCCTCTGTATGAAATCATGAAAAGATTTAAAAGTTTTATAAGATTTTTACATCATTTTTTGGGTCTAAAAATGCAGTCACAGACCCAGTGTATTGCCTCTTCTCTAATCATCTTCACTGCTTTCTTGACATGAAGCAGGGTATTCCTCATCGGCCGTGCGCGCTCGGTAAATATTTTGTAGACCTTAGATTTAGTGTCCCCATAGTGGTGTTTCTGGCAAAGAACATTCCAAACAAACTGCCACAACCATTCAACTGCCCCTGGATTTGCAGTATCCTGTCCATTCTCGAGCTAAACATAGGTTTCATATATTCAACACAACATGCTCTAGCTGTTATTCAATGGGACCACCTACTATTCTCAAAAGGTTCTGAATTTCAGGAAGGCCCTTCGGCTGGTTCTTCTCTGCCTTCAGGTGTGCCTGTCTCTCTTTGAGGCGTGAAACGAAGATCTCCTTGGTGCCCATGGGCATGGCAGTCCGTAGAATTTGTCTCCAGCATTCGTCCTCAGAGGCTTCTTCCATTTTGGCAATCCAAGTACGTATACAAGTCAACAGTTCACGTCTCAATATGCTGCTGAAGTTCTGTGCGGAGCCTTGTGCTGACTGAAGCATAGAAGGGTCACTTAACATGGGAGGATGTAGCTGATTCTGAACTCACCATTCCGACAGCTTCAACCGTTACATTATCAACGGCACTTGGACGCACAGTGGCCCATTCTACATCATATTGAGATCCCTTCTCCAGGCAACTAATATCGAAGGAAGGTAGTGCCATAACATGATGTAAGGCACCTTGTGGGTCATCTTCACGATATCCAACCTCTACTCGGACCCTTTTGGCACGGAGTCCTGGAGAGGGTGGTGGAGAAGAAGTTGGGGAACGAGGGCTCATCGGGTGATCTATGGACAAGCCACAGCTGTGCGCGAGGGCTTCAAGTTGATCTTCAGCAAGACTCATCGCTTCCGGGCTGAGCTTCCTGTGGATCTGTGGGCACGCACAGATCTTTTGTCAGCGGCAAGGAATGAATGGACAAAAGAAGCAGGAAGGATGAGAGAGCTCACAGCAGCCTGGCTGGACATCCGGACGATTCGGAGGTGTTGTGAGCGCTAACTGCACGTGTCAATTACGCGGTGTGTGCGTGGCTTGGCTTCCGAGTGCTATGAGTGGGATCAGGACCAGGGTCAGCCAGGATCGGGAAACACAGTCGTAAGATATAACTGAGTCTTATGATGCACGGGACGATGACGGAAGCTGTGAAATCTGCCCTGGGTCTTCTTTGCACGCACAAGGTTCAGAGGGTGCATCAGGGATAACTGCACGTGTCGATTACGCGGTGTGTGCGTGGCTTGGCTTCTGAGTGCTATGGATGGGATCAGGACCAGGGTCAGCCAGGATTGCGAAACATGGTCGTAAGATATAACTGAGTCGTACGACGCACAGGACGATGACGGAAGCTGGGAAATCTGCCCTGGGTCTTCTTCGCGCGCACAAGGTTCACGGCAGGGCGTGTCGTTGGGTGATGTGTCTGCCTCGATCGAAGTGCAGTGAGCCACGCAAGCCCTGGTGGTTCGTGTTCGTGTATATATGCCCTGGAGCGCGAGCTGGGCGGGAGAGAAGAGGACGAGGAGAGGACAGGCACGTGGAGGAGAAAGGGCAGAAGGCGTGAGGGGCCAAGAGCTGAGCAGGGGCGTGCGCCGGTCCTCTGCGCGAGGTCAATATCCATCAACCATCTCCGTTCTTTACCCCGGCCTCCGGTCTCATCGACATTTGCTCATTCATCGTGTAATATATACCAATCTGCACAAATCGAGGATATTGCGTTGCCGGCTAGGGTCAGGCAACGCGCTCAATGGACTCACCTCTGGAGCTCAAGGCCTTTGAGGTTCTTCGCATGAAGCTGCATGCTATCGCTGTCGCGCGTAAGAAGTGCAAGTCACTTTATAAGTGAAGAGACTTCCGCCTGGGTTCCCGAGCCTTATCAGAAAGCTGAGGACTATCCAGTTGAGTTCGGTCTTATAGATAAGAAGGAGACGAAGACGAGAGAGCAGAGGTGAGAGTATGAGAACTGATAGCTAGACGTGACGACTTGAAGAGATAAAACAGAACTATAAGACTGAATCCCACTAGGCAACGGTGCTAGGGCAATTCAGAATGAGGCAATTGACACGACGCAAGAACCCGAACTACGTTACATGAAAACGGACTGTTTATATACTAATCGAATGAGTCACTGTTGTTACGGAGATGAAGGCTGCGCTGCGAGGCTACGCTATGAGGCTATGTTGGAAATCGATGGCATCCTGAGTATCTTGACTACAAACACCTTCATCTAGCTACCATCCGATGGTAGAATCTTGTCACGTTGATGAACCACGCAGCCTCGTTCTCGGCGGCGATATAGAATGACTCATGCGGTGACCATCCTATCTTCATCAGCCTGCATGACTCCTCAACCCTACACCCTGCACAGCTAATCTTCCCTGCCCGACAACAAGTCCTGTACGCTCGACAACGATTGCTGTACGCCCGACGACAAATCATGTA